GCGCCCTCAGCCCGCGCTGGAATAGGTGAGGCGGGACGTCACTCGACCCTGCCGCCCCGCCCCCGCGCCGGGCGCCCCCACCCCGACCGGCGTCTCTCGAAGAGCCCCAGACCCAGGCGGAGGGGGCGGGCCCCGCAGCCCGCCGAGCTTCACCGTAACGTGTTTGAAGCCGAGCTGCAAAGTGCGGTCTGCGCGCCGATAGGCGGGGGCGCGTCACGTGGCCACGTACGTCCCTTCCCACAATGCACCTGGGCGACCGCCAGGCCAGGGTGCCTGGGGTGCGGGGTGACTTGGATTTATACGTTAGGAGGTAGTCTCTTGAACTGGGAAGGAAGAGGGACAACGGGTACGCGAAGGAGCAAGTTTCTCCCCTAGCAGCAAGCACGGCTAACCATGTTCCGCGGCTTCGCAGGCCTGAGCGAAGCGCGACCTAGTGCGCAGGCGCAGGCGGGAGGTCGTGGGAAGGGAAGCGCGCGCTGGATGGGCGCGGCCGCCATTGCGCAGGCGCACCTCTTTTTCGTGGGGAGTTCCCTGAGGTCTGCACTTTAAATGACTTAAGTCTAGACCTTCGGGTCCTGCAGGGTTGCGGCTGCTGGATGGCTGTTTATTTTTGTAAAATTTTTAAAATTTTATTGTTTTGACATTAGTACATATTTGTCATATAGAATGATCACTTCATTGCAGAGAATTTGTGCCTGCGTGTAATACATCTTAATTTTTCCTTCCCCATTCCCCTCCACTCCCTTCAGGCCGCCTTCCTCTCCCCATTTACAAAAGCTTTGTTTCTGCTTCCCTTCCTTGCCTGTCCCCCTCTCCTTTGTTCCTCTTCCTGTTTGAACCTCTTCCTACTTCCAGATGTCAGGCCTCGATTATGCTCCTTGTTTAGCCTTTGGATTTCTCACAAAACAGAAACAGTGGGATATTTAAGCTGTGTCTGATTTTTTTCAAGGTGGCCCTGAGGTGCATCCATTTACCTAAAAGCAAAGTTTATCCTTTATGGCAGAGTAGTACTCTGTTGTATATAAATACTACCTTTTCTTGCTGGGTGTGGTGGCACATGCCTGTCATCTTAGCACTCAGGAGGCTGAGGCAGGAGGATCGGATCACGATGAGCTCGAGGCCAGCCTAAACTGCATAGCAGACCCTGTCTCAAAAAAAAAAAAAAAAAAAAAAAACCAAACTACTTTTTCTTTATTCGTTCATCTGTTGAAGGGCATATGGGCTTTTTCCCAGATTTAGCTATTATAAATTGTGCTGCTGTGAACATGGGTATGCACAGGTCACTGTGGTATGATGCTTTTAACTCAGGAAGATACCTAGAAAGGGAACAGCTGGGTCAAATGCAACCTCTAGTTAGTTTTTGAGGAATCTCCGTACGGATTTGCGTTGTGATTGTACCAGATTATACTCTCACCAGCCACGGAGAAGGGTTCCTTGCCTCCCCAACGGCCTTGCCAGTATTTGTTGTTGGTTGATTTCTTGATGATAGCGGTTCTTTCTGGAGTGAGGTGGAATCTCAAGCATTGTTTTAATTTGTAGTTCTAGAATGACCAGTGGTGTTGAACCCTTTTTCATATATTTATTTGCTGTTTGTACTTCATTTCAGATGCTCACATTTGAATTCGGTGTTTAAATCGGGTTTTGATTTTTTTGAGTTCTTTATACTAGATCGTATTTTGCGTGAGGAGTAGCTGGGTGGGTGTTTCTGAGTTTGTAGCACCTGAGCCCCTGCGTACCTGCCCTCCCAGAGGTCCCGCAGAACGCCTCCCCTTGCAGGAGTGGGGGTCCCCCACCCACACTCGCATGCCCGGGAAGCATTCTGCCGCTTTAAACTTGGTCTGCGCTGAAACCCCATTTTAAAGTGGAAAAAGGCACTGGGCTGGGGGTGTGGGCTGGGATTGCATGTTACTGCTTTCCTTTTATCCCTTCCTTTGTTGTTATTGCCGCCACGTGCTGGGGATTGAACCCACGACCTCGGGCTAAGCTGAGAACCCCATCTTTGTGTCACCTGTTATGTGGACCTGGATCTTGTTAAGTTGCCCAGGCTGCACTCTAATTTGGGACGCTTCTGTTTCTGCCTCTGCCTCTTAAGTAGCTGGTACTACAAGTATGGACCACCTTACCCAGCTACTTCGTTCTCCTTGAGTTGGGTTATGATGCAAAAAGGTTAGTTCCACCCCCCCCCTGCACTGGAGATTGAACCCAGGGCCATTCACCTGAGCTGCATCCCATCCCCTTTTAAATGTTGAGCCACGGTCTTACTAGGATGCCAAGACTAGACTCGAACTTGTTATCCTTTCCCAGCCTCCCAGAACGCTAGGGTTATGGGCCTCTGTCACCATGAACAGCTAACAAACTTTTTAATGTGAGGATTGTCAGCTGAAATCTGGAGAGGAAGAAACATAGACATGCTTTGTGTAAAACACTGGAAGCAGGCTAAATGGCCATCGTACGGTAGCAACAAATAAGCTACAGCAGCTTCCTACTGAGAAGCCGAAAAAGATGCTTCTTGACCATGTGTTTCCTGCTCAAAAGCTATGCCTTCCCTTAACCCAAAGGCTGGAGCTCTGAGGGTGGCTTATAAAGCTATCTGCAGTCTCACCCTCCTTACTTCAACAACCTGCAGCCGGATCACTGTTCCTCCAACAGGCCCCGCACCACCTGCCTCAGGCCCTCTTCCCTGCAGCTGTTGCCTCTACCTGAGGTGTGCTACCTCGGACATTTGTTCCCTCACCACCAGATCTGTGCAGCGTCACCCACTCAGGCCTTTCCTGCAACGTCCTATCTGTTTTTTTATCTTCTTTCATCCATAGTCCTAACTGGGAAAAAATACAAATGTGCGTGTGTGTAAGTATTCATACAGCAGTGCATTCCAAGGCATGCAGAGAGCCTGGCAGCCCTCTGGGACCTTCAAAGTGGCAAAGATGGAGTTGTGGAAAATGCCTTCATGAAGATCAGGAAAAAGAGGAAGGGCAGCCGTGCAAGGAGTGTGAGCACTGCTGAAAGGGTGGGGCATGCTGCAAGGTCTTAAGCAAGGGAATGAGCTGCTGACATTGGAACTTACCTCATCGAGATCTTTTCTGAGAATTACAGATGCCCGAGGCCAGAGGTGACAGACTGGTGACCCACAGATGTTTGCTTTGGCCCAGATAGTCTTTTTAACACAAGCGCATGTAGCAACCAGAGCTCCCTTGAAAAACCACATGGCAATATCTTCTAAAGCTAAGCAGACACTGACTCTGCAGTCCAACCCCTAGGAATATGTTCAACAAAAATGCTTGCACACTTTCCCCAGAAGACAGAAAGTAGCATAGTCATAGCTTAAGTATTTGTTGCAGGCCCAAAGTGGGAGCAACCTCAATACCAACAGGAAGACAGATGAATAAACAGATTATCAGCAATGAGAATGAGCCATCCGCAACTACAAAAAACAGGCATGACTGTCATACAGTGTGAGATTCCAGACCCAAAAGAGTCTGGAACGCCAGACCTACCCACAGGGTACATATTGTGTGATTCTGTTCGTATAATGTACAAAAGCAGGCGAAACTAGTCCTGAAAGTCCTCTGGGGTGTGGGGGAACCTAGTGCCTGGAAGAAAGAGCAATACCTTCAGGGCCAGGCAGGTTTCAGACAGGGCCTCATTACATTGTACTGATCAGCTGGGAACTCAATATGTAGCCCAGGCTGGCCTCAAACTTGCAGTTCTCCTGCCTCTGCCTTCTAGGTGATGGGATTGCAGGTGTGCACCACGACACCTGGCTCCAGGTTCTGTTTCTGGATCCAGATGTTGGTGGTAGTTTTTTCTTTTTATTTTTCACGCTGTTGGGCACCTTGCATTTTTCAGTTAAGAAAAAAACTATTTTGAGTTCCTAAAGGATTTGTCCCCTTTATACTACATTGTGTTTCCTCTATACAGTATACAACAAACATTTAAAATTTATGGTAAAATGCTTGTAACAGTACAACTCGACCATCTTCCTTTCCTTCTCTCTCTCTCTCTCTTTATAGACAAGGTCTTGCTGTGTAGTTCAGGCTGGTCCTGAGCTCACTATGTAGCCCAGGCTGGCCTTGAATTTGCAGCAACCCTCCTGCCTCCGCCTGCCAAGTGCTGGGGTTATAGGTGTGTGGCACCATACCTAGCTAACTTGACCATTTTTAGTGTACAGATAAAAGAATGAAAAAGAGTAAAGAAAGTTTGTGGGACTTATAGGGTGCTATCATAGCAATTTTAGAAGCTCCAGAAGGAGCAGAGAAAGAAAGGGGCAGAAAGCTTAAAGGACTAATGACAAAAAAATGTAGAGAGAAAAATAAACACACAGATCCCTAATGCTCAAACTCAAAATAGTTGAGCATAAAGAGGTCTCCACCTAGAAATGTTATAGTCAAATTGTGGAAAGTGGGACACAATTTTGAAGGTGGTGAGAGGAAAGTTGTCAATTATAAGAGAACTGCCCTTAGACTATCATTACAAGAGGATTTCTCAGCAGAAGTCTTGCAGGCCTCAACAGAGTGGGATGGTATACTCAAAGTGCT